ATTTCAACCAGAAAATTAGCTTTCCCAGTCCTAGTTTGGTTTGCCAAGAGGAGAAATTAATTTGGAATACCTTGTCGCTGCAAGCTGCAGTCCAACATATATAGCTTGTTTCGGCTGAAACAATGTTACTAGACCAAACGTATTTCAGCTTAAGAAAACACTGTACTTCTTTCTTCACATAAGGGAGGTTAGAGAGCGAGAAACGTCATAGAAATTCGTGGACGCTTCGACGGAGGGTAACGCTCACGAAACACAAAACCGACAGATCAGACTGATCTGGGGACTGGGCACCGGGATTCTTGAGTGCTCTGGATCCAGTCCACAACGGACCAGTGCCTTTGCTTTGGTGCCGCACCTTTGGTCCTACCGCGCATGACATTCCCAATTTGTTGGAAAGTTTCTCTTACCGCACTGGTTATACCAGTTCAATATCAAGCAACAAGAAGGATGGCACAAGTCAGTTGGGCGTGTTTGCTAAAAGCGTATCATGCGCTGCGTGAAATAATACGTCATGACTGTCTTTAGTATTTAAATTTCAGTCCATATTTGTTGAAGACACATTTTGTAAAAATGAACTGATCTATTTAATAAACTGTGTTTGTAATTTTATTTGGAAGACCAAAGGCTAATTCAATTCCTACGAATTTCTGCGAGGTTTGACCCAAATAAGAAAATGATGGCCGCAAATTCAAATCGGCGAGATTCTAAACTGATAACAAAGCAGAAATGCGCCTCCATGGGCATTTTCTCTTCCGAGAAACGTGCGTGGCAACATTAAGCGCAGGAGAACTGGATACCATGTCTAAAAATAACTCTTAAAAGGGTTCACCTTAAGAACAGAACTTTCGTTCTCGCTTAATTTGCCACATTTCCGTAAAATAAAGTAACTCAGTACTTGATGCTGATTCATCTCTTTTACAAACACTTCGAGTGATAACGAAGAGGTCTAGTCAATGGTAGAACTCTATAGAGTCGTGCAACTGGTCAAACGGTAGGGACATACCTGCAGGGCGTACCACGCGATTTGGTTTAAGTACTACTTAACTTCTTGGCTTTCGTGCGACTATAACTGTCTCATTATTCGGGTCAAATTCAATTACTCATGATGCAAATGAGATTTTATAAAATTCATGCCATTCGAAAAAAAATATACTGAGTTTAATTTTCTTTTTTAAATCTTCAACAGAACTCCATTTTACCTCTCAGTTGGAATTTTAAGAGGACATACTAGCTTGTGGATGCTAGAGTGTGTCAAAATATCTTTTTTTCTTTCTATGAAAGATTCTATCTTTCCCATCAAAAGCATTGCTTACGAAAGAATGTAAGCATGCATTATGCAGGGCTGATCGAGTGTTCAGGATTCCTGAAATTAAGACAAGGCACGAATGTCCTGTTTTAAAAACATTATCCCAAGATCGCCTACAGGAACCAGGCTATGCAGAAAAATCTGTTTTGACGATGTTAAAATGAGTAAGCAACATTTCTTGATTTTACCACAGTTGATGTCAAAATGTGGTCGATGGAAATAAACATTAAAGGGAGGTTCCGTTTTAAAAGCCGTTTTGAAATTGTCAATATCACTTTTACTATTGCTATAGTTCGTTGCTTCCAAAGGGCATCTTTACAAAGTTCTAACAAGGCCCTAAAATTTGGAATTCTCTTCCATTATCTATAACTAGTTCAACAAGCTTCTCCAACTTTAAGGAAAAATCATTACATTTTTAATTAAATAATGGTGAATTGGTCATGCCGTGCACGAAAACCTTTTAAAATTTACACTATATTAACAACTGAGGGGACCTACGCTATAACCCTGGTGGGTTTTTGGAGGTCTCCTCGCCACCGTTTTGTTTATTATTATTTTATTGATGACGACGACGACGACTACGATGATGATGATGATGATGATGATGATGATGATGTTCTTGTACCCGCCCTCGTCAATCAGCCTTACACTCACAACCCAATGTAACAGTCTTTCTCAGAGCGGGAATGTAAGCATAGCCACTAGGCTCACATCTGTTCCTAAGGTATCCATGGTCCGCGCACAGTATGCTGTGAGTATGGCATATATAGTGAACGTAGAATTGACTGCCATTGCCAGGGTAAACGTGCACACCTTTCACGCAATGATGGAGCGACCTGACGTCATAACGCATTCTTTCGCCTATTGTGCGTCTCTTGGTTAGAAAAGCCTGAGCACTAGCCCGCAATGTTGCTGGTTTAACATGCAGACTACCTCCAGCATCTTCGTCTGCATTGTCGCCTGGATCTGACAGCGTTTTCCACGCTGGGTCTGTCGAATATCCGTTCTTTGTCAGATCAATCTGAGAAATAAACAAGATAGAGTAAAGTTTGATCTCTTGTTGGTGGAGGTGGGCTTAGTAGAGCTAAGAATTTGCTCTCGTTGCAGTGAATTTCTGCGTTTTGAATGCTCGTGCAATATTGTTAGTCCTTGAAAAATTTACTTAGAATTTACTAGAAATCATTTGGTTATCTATACTAATAGTATTTAATTATGGTAGTATTTACTAATAGTATTTTGACGGGCATGTTCTACAAATAAATTGTCCAGCTTAAACAAAATAAATAAAATTTTTTCGTAACGTACAGTTTTCTTAAATGCTTTTAACCTTCTTTATTGATGTTTTCTATTTCTCAGGGCGTTTCGGTGGTTTCCTAATGCCTAATTTATTCAATCTGCATCAAACAAATTAATAGCGGAGCTCCGTCGGCCCTTTCGGGCCGCCAAGCGGAGCACCATACTTATGAATTGATTTTCTCACGATTATCATCGCTAGCGGTATATTGCTCGTGGGCGCGTACGCACGACGTCGACGACGACGGCGGTGGAATCCCATAGATGACGGCCATACTTCAGCTGTTAACTGTTTTTTTTATACCGTCCTTCTTTGATATTGGACATCCATGTTATGGTCAATTGACACCTGTCAAAACAAGGTATTCGCTGACCAGTATCACATGGCCATATCACGGGCTCAAATTATAGCTCAACGAGACCTCGTGGTTTTTTGAGGTTGACAGCTGACCAAGTGCTGGTTTTTGGTTGGATAGCGGTCTCAAGTCATGTGAACTTGTTGTAAACAGGAGCCGTTTCTCGAAAGCCCCGGAAACTTTTCGGGCCCGCAAAGCCATTTTCAGTTTCGTATACGCCTGAAACTTCTTTTATGAAGGGAGCCTCTGTTCATATTTAGTATATGTGAATAAAACAGCTCTGTTATCATAGGGTTTGAGATTTTGCTACGGAAGGCTTTTCCGGTGCGGGACCTTCGAGAAACGGGGTCCTGGGCCGGATTGTTCGGACGCCGGTTAACCCTCACCCAGGATTAAAACTTATAAACAACAAAAAACAAAATTATAAATTTGTCTTGTATAAAGCTGTTTTTCACGGCTTTTGTTTTGTGTAGTTTGAGATTATTTAAATTCATAATAGAGGGTCAAACAATATACAGAAAACCTCACCGCAAAGTTACAAAACTCAAATCGAAATTCTCGCTTATCTTGGGTTAGCTTAATCGGGCTTTGAACAACTCGGCCCTGGAGCTCCACTTTTAGGCTTGGCTAAATCTATACTGATTAGTACATCAATAATACAATTGCTCACCAGTATTGCCAAAGACAACGCGAACTTTACCAGCTTCATGGTCTCTCTTCGTTAAAACTTTCTTGCGTAGGAAAAAGAATATCACTTCGTTTCGACGATAACCAAGGTACTTTTATACTTATTTTAAAGAAATGTAAAACGACAGGTTGATAAAATATGAAGTTACTAAGAGTGAATGTAGCTGAAGCATCAATGCTTGCTTCAAGGGCTGAAATTATAGTCATGTCGCGACATGACTTCAATTTTCTTTGAGTGGTTTCTTTTGAGAAAACCGATCCTTACCTAGCCTTGAATCCTTCAAGCTTCACTGCAGCTTTATGCCCCTGCATCATCAAAACTCGAGAATTTTAAAAGGATTTAGGAAACGTGGGCTGAAGTAGCAGGAACTGGGACAATTTCTATGATGTTTTTGTCTCTTTGATTCAATGATCTTTTCAACGGGGTCTATTAAAAGAAATGCTGAAAGGAGCATTGCGTAGGATTAACACTGAGAAACCGTCATCCTAGGGGGTAGTGAACAAGGTTGGAGGTGACGTTTTATGCCCAATGTTGTCAATTTTCAAAAAGGTCTTCTTAACGTTGGATGTAAAAATTAAAAAGCTCTTAAGCTTAGTTCGGGTTTCAAAGGGTACAGCCGTAAAGTGGGCGGCTTGAATTATCAAAAAGGTAAAGTTTTATTGCTTTTTCTACTTAATTAAAGCTCATCAAAACTAGCTTCGCTTGCGACTTACCTTTGGCTGAAAATAACCAAATCGTTCATTTCCTGAAAAGCCGGATCTTCTGGGTAAAGTGAGCTTTAAGTATGGCGCAAATAATGATTAAAGATTGAAAGCAAATGTTTCTGTTTCTGAATTCATAAACACCATTTTCGAACAGAAAGTGGCAGCTTGTTTGCGTCTCACCGCATCTAAAATAAGAATCATACGCTGATATATATATAGATACTTCATTGAACCTCCCCGTTGGGGCTTTTCAGGAACAATAACTTTAAAATTTACTATAACAGTTATTTAAAAAACGATCGATATACATTAAAATGGTAAAATGTTAATGTAAAATATAATACATCAAAATGCTTGTGATCGATGTTTAATTGAGGCAGCGATTCCGTGTCCGACTCGATACTGAAATGGTGCAAATTGGGAGGATTAAACAACTCGACGTTAATTTGAACGCGAATTTGGAACCAGAATATATAAATCAACGAAGGTTCTTTTATACTTGTTTTAAAGAGACGTAAAACGACAGGTTGATAAAATATAAAGTTAATAAGAGTGAATGTAGCTTAAGCATCAATGCTTGCTACAAGGTCTAAAATTATAGTCATGTCGCGACATGACTTCAATTTCCTTTAAGTGGTTTCTTTTGAGAAAACCGATCCTTACCTAGCCTTGATTGAATCCTTCAAGCTTCACTGCAGCTTTACGCCTCTACATCACCAAAACTCGAGAATTTTAAAAGGATTTGGGAAAGGTGGGCTGAAAATAGCAGGAACCGGGACAATTGCTATGATGTTTTTGCCACATGACTGCAATTATCTTCAAGAGGTTACTTGTTAGAAAACCGATCCTCCTTACCTAGCCTTGAATCCTTCAAGCTTCACTGAAGCTTTATGTTCCTGTACCATCAGGAACTCGACTATTCAAAAGGATTTGGGTAAAGTGGGCTGAAAATAGCAGGATCCGAGACAATTTTTTTGTTTTTGCCAGTTGAATTCGATGATTTTTTCAATGATTTTCAATGAGGTCTAATACGTGAGATGCTGAAAGGTGCATTACCGATGAAACGGCCATGCAGAGGAGAAATTTGCAAAGGTGTTATGCCCAAAGTTTTCTATTTTCAAAAACATCTACTTAACGTTGGATGTAAAAATTAAAAAGCTCCTAAGCTCAGTTCGCGTTTCAAAGGGTACAGCCGTATAGTGGGCGTCTGGAATTATCAAAAAACTAAAGTTTCATGCTTTTTTCCACTTGATTAAGAGCTCATCGATATTAGATTCGTCTGTGACTTACCTTTGGCTGCAAATAAACAAATCGTTCATTTTCTGAAAAGCCGGATCTTCTGGGTAAAGAGAGCTTCAGGTATGGCGCAAATAATGGTTAAAGATTGAAAGCAAATGTTTCTGTTTCTGAACAAAATTAATAAAGGGAATGGTTTTGTAACCTGGCAAAGTTCTTTGTTGTATTTTATTGTTGGCTATTTTGGGGGTTGACCTTGCACAAAACCTGGCAAAATACAAAAGATGGTTGAGTGTTCATAGAACTGACCATATAGAAGCATTGCGATTATGTAAGTCATGCATATTCAATGAGCATAAAACAAAAGACGTGCAGGGTCAAGGACCTTCCAACGTAAGTCTTAGCTTGTTTGTTTGCTGCTTTGATGTTTACCGGGCTAGTCTTAACCATTTCCTCTATTAACTATGTTCTGATTCAATAAACACTGTTTATTGATTCAGAACATAGTTATGGGCCATTTTCGAGCAGGAAGTGGCAGCTTGTTTGCGTATCACCGCATCTGAAATAAGCATGCAATCAGAGTATCTTTGTAATCAGATGTTTAACTGAGGCAGACCGGAGTCCATTTCCGACTCAACATGAAATGATGTTAGTTGCAAGGATTAAACAACTTCGGCGTAAATTTGAAAGCGAAACTGGGACCAGAACATATGTCCTTGAACTTGGCTTAAGAGAGGTGAAGAAAGCACTGAATATATTAGGAAACTGAAACTTAGGAAAGTGTAGGCAGTTTTAAGAAGAAGAAGAATCATGTACTTAAGTACTAGATTTAAATACTGAATTTAAGCCTTCTCTTAGTGGATTCAGTCAAGCCCTTTGTAGTGAATTCGTTGCAGATACTCGTGTTCCGAGTTAGGTTAATGCATATGGAAACAAGCACTTTCACGTCTTTTTCAGACCTCCAGTTCTATATTTTAGTTATTTAATCTGTTTTTGTTTTGTTTTCTTTTTGTGTTTGATTGCATCATAATTGATAGAGGAGAACGATTATGAAAACCGACAGAGTTCTTCGTTGAAGGATTTTGTTTGCATTTCTAGCCTTGACCGTGCTCGAAACACAATTGTTGTTTACTCCGTGCTGAGAAACTAACCAATAGAAACGTTTTGCTCACGTAATTCATGTATAGCGTATGGGTGCGAAACAAAAGATTGTGCACTGTCGTGAACCTTCTAACATAAATCTTGCCATCTTTGTTTGCTCCTTTGATGTTTTCTGGGCTTCATAACCATCCCCCTCTATTAACTATGATTGCAGATATGAGTGAAAATGCTCCTGAATCAAAAATCACCTTAAAACTAGTTTTAATATCTGTTTTTAAACAGGAATACATGGATAGCAACCGTGACTCAGTCTTAATTATATAAGTGTTTCCTCCAAAAACGTTCCCCTTAGAACTTTTAAGTCAAAATAATAATAATAATAATAATAATAATAAATAATATTAATAATAATAATGATAACAACAATAGGAATAATAATACTGTTAATAATAATAATACTAATAATAATAGGTAAAGGTGGGTTCAGAAGAAAAGTCACCCAAGACAGGTCGAACGAATGTTATTTTACACTCACATAGTCGCCTCATAACTGTTTATTTTTCGGTATTATTTCTCTATGTACGTTTCTTAATCCCTTCCAGTCGTTCGTTTAGAAAAAATTATTACCAAGATTTGACGGTCTTTCATGATTGTTTTTTTGATTAAAGAATTATTACCTGACTCACGCTTGTGGCATATATCCTAATTGTAGTTATACCACAGGGGCGGATCTAGGAGGGAGGGTGCAGGGGCTGCGCACCCCCTCTCCATGAGATAACATATTTGCTTTTAAAATTAGTTTACCTCACCAGTCAGTTACGCCATTCCTTAGTGGTGCACCCCCTTCTAAGAAATATCCCGAATCCGCCCCTGTTACAGAAACGCCTGTACTTGTGAAATAATTATTTTAAATATCAAATCGCTCACCCGAAAGCCAGTTAACTATACCAAGATAACTCGACAATAGCCTCCATTTAGAGCAAAATATGCTAAGATATTAGTTTCGAGAAGCAAACGGTTTTCCGAGAGCGTTTGCGTAGCTCAAGGAAACCTGTGAGCTTTGGAGAACAGATAATGTCCAAGAACAAATATTTTCAGTGCATATCTTCGCGCCAAATGTAGGCTATCGTGTTTAGTATTCTTCGAAAAAGTTTTCCCAACACGCGCAGCTTTGAAAATTGGGGAACATCACCTCAGATATTCCCCAGATTCAGCTGGGGCATATCCAGTCACGTGACGCGTTTAGACAAATCGCGGACGCGCGAAACCATTTGATGGATTATAAGCTAGGACACTTTCATTCCTCGGTTTATTTTCATGCCTATTAAATTACAGAGCTGGATGAAAAGTGGAAACCAAATTAGCATCAATTCTTAAACTTGCTTTACAAAATAAAAAGCGTTTAAATTTGCATAAAAGTAACATTTATGCCGATACATTGTGCTGAGCTGAATTCGGGAGTCGCAGTAGTTTGCTGAAGATGATGTGATGTACAACGAATGATCAACTCGTGAATTGGCATTTCTTGGCCACTCAAATACTGTGGCGGTTTTAATTGAAACTCGAATAAAAGTTAATTGTTACAATGTCCATGGTAATTAAACTATCATTTTCAGCAAAGGTGGGGCGAAATAGGCGCCAAAAGCCAATACATTGTGGCAGCCCCACCAACACACCACTGCAGAGCTTGCGAAAAGAGAACCAATTTATAGTAAAGGAACGAGAATAATATTGACCGATCAGAAACAGCCCGTACCTGACTTACCTCGCCGTCGAGCTTTTACAATACTCTTGTGAGAGCTGGCGCAAAATGACAAAACATATGGCAGCCCACCTCTGACCCACGTTGCTGTTACGCAATGACGCAAAGCAGAAAAAGCAATATACAGCTAAATATGTGAGGACGGAAACTGTAGCAGCCCATGCCTGACCTCCGTTTCCGACATCGCTCATAAATGTAACTAAAATAGCATCAATTCTTACACTTGCTATACAAAATAAAAAGCNATCAGCGCGCGTATTTTCTTAGGGCTGTTTTCTAAAATGATACACATGGTCTTTGATGACCAAAGTCACGTGACAAACTTTCTTGGTATAGGAGACGTCCAGTACCAGGGGCCCGTCTCTCGACGGTCCCGAAAAGTTTTCGCACCCGAAAAGCCGTAGCAAAATATCAAACTTTATGATTACAGAACTGTTTTATTGACATATTCTTAATTTGAACAGAGGTTCCCTTCATACAAGACGTTTCAGGCGTATACAGTTCTTCGTTTTTAGATACAGATGAACTAAAAATGGCTTTACGTGCCCGAAAAGTTTCCGGGGCATTCAAGAAACGCGCCCCAGGCCCAAAAATCTCAATTCTCGGTCTTGAACGCAACGTTAACGTGCGTGGCAACAGTGTCCGTGGGGGAACTGGATACCATATCTAAAAACAATTTTTAACTTGAGAATAAGGCCTATATGGGGAATTAACACTCCCACCCTTCAATTGTCTCTTAATGTCACACATTTCAGTGAGATAAAATGAATCAGTAATTCATGCTATTTATCTGTTTTACAAACACTTTGAGGGATAATCAAAGGATCAAGTCAACTGCGGTATATGACCCGTAAGAGTCGCGCAACTGGTCAAACTTTATTGAAATACTTAGAGGGCGTACTACAAAGATACAATTTTTGTGTAAGTACTACTTAACTTTTTGTCTGTCGTTGACAGTCACATTGAGGACGGTTTCAAATTCTTATGACGAAAATAACATTTTTTAAAAAATTCACTATATCTTAGAATATTCCTGAGCAACTCTTTTTTTTAAACATTATCAACATAAATCTGTTTTACCTCTCAGTTAAAATTCAACAGAAACACTAAGGTGTGGATGTTATAGGGTGCGTCAAAAAATTATTTCTTTTCTTTCAAACATTCTATCTTTCGTATTAGGAAGACTGCACGCGATAGAATATTTGCAGACATTATGTAAGGGCTGATCGAGTGTCTAGAAGCAACCAGGCTGCGCACGAAAATCTGTTTTCCACGAGTTCAAAATGTCCTAGCAATATTTCTTGATTTTACCACAGTTGATGTCAAGTCGTGTCAATGGAAATGAGCAAAACGGGAGGTTCCGTTTTAAAAGTCCTTTTTATGTAACATAACGTTGAAATTTTTAATATTACTTTTGTTATTGTTTTTGTTCGTTTCTTTCAAAGGGCATCTTCACGCTTCAGCATCAATTTTCGCCCAGATCAATCAGCCTTACACCTACAACCGGATACTACGGACTTGTTCAGGACAGGAATGTAATTATAACCACTAGGCTCACATCTTTTCCTAAGGTATCCAGGCCCGCTGCATAGTTCACTGTGAGTCTTGCATTCATAGTGCATGTACATCTTATTACCTTGGTAAACTACTGGTGTCGGCTCTCCTTTCACGCATGGATGATGTAAAGACCCAACGTCATACCAGCTTGCCCGCCATGTTGCTGGTTTAACATGTAGACTATCTGCAGCGTCTTCGTCTGCATTGCCGTCACGTGGATCTGACAGCGTTTTCCGCGCTGGGTCTGCCGAATATCCGTTCTTTGTCAGAGCAATCTAAGAAATAAACACGATAGAGTAAATTTCAATTTATTTTTGGAGGGGCTGGGGGTAGGGGAGGGGACTTAGTAGAACTAAGAATTTTCTCATGTCGCAGTGAATTTCTATGTTACTTTGTATTCGCGAATGCGCCTTGAATAGAGAGGAAAATGCATGGAAGGGATAACTTTCTTTATCTTGAAATAGTAAATTGAACTTTTGCTTTTAAAGAAGGCTAATATTGTTCTCTTGTATGAAAAAATCATGAAACCTAGATTATTGATCTATGATTGCAACTCGTTGGAAATAATGGCGTCATTATGCTACGGAGAGCTCAAAAGAAATATTTTGGGCCTGCAATAAATCTTCCAAGTTTTATTGTCATATCTTTGATACTCTAAGATTTACATGGCGATGCACTCACAAGACCCTTCCGATCCCAGAAGGCTAAATAAAGCCCGCTCTAAATAGGCTTGATTTAGTAAAACTGGGCTATGCCTCATTTCTCAAAAACTGTCGAGAAGGTCGAAGTCAAATTGATAAATGCGCTGGTAAGTCATGGCTCTTAACTTGACCAATCACAATCATTTATCCATTCTGCATCTAGCAAATGAATAGTAAATTAACGATACAATTGCTCACCAGTATTGCCAAATACAACGCGAACTTTACCAGCTTCATGTTCTGTCTTCGCAGAAACGTTCTTCCTCTTTCGTCGGCAAAAGAATGTGACCTCGTTTCGACGATAACCAAGGTACTTTTATACTTATTTTAAAGAGTTGTAAAACGGCAGGTTGATAAAATATGAAGTTACTAAGAGTGAAAATAGCTTAAGCATCAATGCTTGCTACAAGGGCTGAAATTATGGTCGTGTCGCGACATGACTTCAATTTCCTTTAAGTGGTCTATTTTAAGAAAATCGATCCTTACCTAGCCTTGAATCCTTCAACTTTATGCCCCTGCATCATCAAAACTCGAGAATTTTAAAAGGATTTGGTAAAGGTGGGCTGAAAATAGCCGGAACCGGGATAATTTCTATGTTTTTGTCTCTTAAATTCGATGATTTTTTCAATGGGATCTCAATTAAAACAAATGCTGAAAGGAGCATTGCGTAGGATTAACACTGTGAAATCGTCATCCTGCGGGAAATAAACCAAGTCGAAAGTGAAGTGTTATGTCTAAAGCTGTCTACTTTTCAAAGAGATCTACTTAACGTTGAATGTAAAAATTAAACATGTGTTAAAAAGCTGTCAAGCTCAGTTCGGGTTTCAAAGGGTAAAGCCGTAAAGCGGGCGGCTGGAATTATCAAAAAAGTAAAGCTTTATTGCTTTTTCTACTTAATTAAAGCTCATCGAAACTAGCTTGGCCTGTGACTTAACTTTGTCTGAAAACAACCAATTCGTTCATTTTCTGAAAAACAAAACCCGGATCTTCTGGGTAAAGAGGGCTTTAAGTATGGCGCAAACAGAGGTTAAAGATTGAAAGCAAATATTCCTGTTTCTGAATCAATAAACACCATTTTCGAACAGAAAGTTGCAGCTTGTTTGCGTCTCACCGCATCTGAAATAAGAATCATACGCTGATATATATAGATACTTCATCGAACCTCCCCGTGGGGCTTTTCAGGAGCAATAACTTTAAAATTTACTATAATGGCTATTAAAAAGCGATCAGTTTACATTAAAATGGTAAAATGTTAATGTAAAATATAATACATTAAAATGTTTGTGATCGGATGTTTAATTGAGGCAGCGATTCCGTGTCCAAATCGATACTGAAATGGTGCAAGTTGCGAGGATTAAACAACTCGACGTTAATTTGAACGCGAATCTGGGACCAGAACATATAAATCAACCAAGGTTCTTTTATACTTATTTTAAAGAGACGTAAAACGACAGGTTGATAAAAT